GGGGCGGGGGGGGGATGGAAACCACGTGGTCAGAGCCTCTGGGGCACTGGCCGTGGGCTTCACCCCAAGGACGCCCTCCTACCTTTCCGTCGTAGCTCCCGACTGCCAGGAACTGACTGCTGGGGCTCCAGGCCACGGACTTGATGCCCAGGGACCACTCGTAAGCACAGAACGTAGACAGCAGCCGGCCGTCCAGGGAGTAGACCAGGATCTTGTACTGCCGCGACATCGAAAATGTTGCTGAACCCAGAGCAGGTAAGGCAGCCACTCAGGAGGCAGTGAGACTCGGGGCGGGGACAATGCCCTCCCCAATGGCGGTGGGAAACGGGGACGTGGGACCACAACTAGAGGAGCCAAGCGGTAACACAGTGGGAAAGGGGAACCGGGCGCTAACAAGCTCCTCGGCTCGACGTCTGAAAGAGGCAGTTAACGCTCTCGGCGTTCGGAGACCGTGAGAGGAATACTGGCATCGGTGCTTAGAGCAGAAAGGGTCCCGAGTGGGCTGTCTACCTCCAGGCAGGAGTCCCAGGCAGCCAGCACGCAGCCGTTGGGGGCCCACTCGATCCCGGCCAGGTCCTGCGTGTCCGTGTCGAAGTGCTTGCCGAGGCGGGTGGGGGGAGAGATGAAATTGAAAATGTTTTCAACAGATACATGAACGTTTATTTTATAACTGATGTGTTAACACATTCAGTATTTAATTTCCTCATCTAGCCACAGACAGAAACATGTACAACCGTGTCCTCCTGCTGTGACGTCCAGCCTGAGCGCTGGGGAGCTTCCAGGCCGGGCACACGTGGCTGCAATGTGGCTCAGGCCTCCATCCACCCTGCGCCTGTACCTGCTTCTTGCCTGGCTGAGTCTTGTGCCTTTAAGACCAGCCCAGGCAAGACCCTCCCAGGACATCCCTGCCCCGTCAAGGAGGCCTCTGTCTGACGGCATCCAGGGGTCCTGCCCGGCCCTGTGCGTCTGTGTCCATGGCCTCCTGCCCCACGCAGGAACGTGCTCAGTGTTAAACTCCGGCTCACTCTTCTGCCTGATGCAGCCACACGTATGCAAATACCACAGAACCAACAGGAACGGAGGTGGCACCAACCTGGTGGCCTGTTAACTGTGAACACACCGCAAGCACGCATCATCTCAACACATCCTACGAACGCCTGCCGGTGTGCGCGCCACGTGGTTACAGGCAGCACCGGCCTTTGGGAATGTGGAATCACATTGCTCCATACCACGCGGAAGATGCCTTGGAACCTCAGACAACGCACTCCTCCCCTCCCCCCACGCTCCAGGGTCACTCTGCTCCCAGGTGGGGACAAGTCTCACCCGCAGAAGCTGCCAGTCGCTGCAGACCAAGATGCTCACGTAGTCTTTGCAGTCCCGTCTCTCGGCCAGCGCCAGGTAGCGGCCGTCCCTGGTAAAGGTTATTCCTGCCGAGAAGAGTGAAAGATCCCGGGATCGAGAAGCAGATTGCAGCAGTGGTTTTCAAGTTAGAACGAGAAAGAGAAAGCAGAGGTCTGAAGAGGGGGACGTGGCACACAGAGCCTGGCGTCCGTGGCAGGGAGTGTGTGTCTACAAAGGGCGGGGTCTCCACACCCTTGCTCAGACTTCTGACCTGCAGTGAACCTGTGAGAAACACACAGTGACCTGAGCCCCGATGAGCCCCAATCCATTACTGGGAAGTGTGGTGCCCTACGGAGTGTTGTGGTCTTATGAAATTAACCGCAGGAAACTCAGCTGGTTCAGAGCAGGCTTGTCATGACATTTCCTATTTTTACTTTTGAATTTAAATTTGGAAGAAGTCAATTCAAGGTAAGAACCTGGCTGCAACCAGACTGTACTTTCTGGGTCCGTATTAGCGAACCGAGCCCGTGGCCACATTTCATACCTCATGGGTCAAAAGAACACCTAAATGACAGAGCTGTCATTTCCACCAAGAAGGGTGTGTGTCGTCTGCAGAGACACTGATATTCAAACTATAAAAATAAGTGTACAATTGCACACCATTCACATGTGAGGTTCAAACTGCTGACGGCAAGAGAAAAAATGGAAAAATCATTCAAACTATGTGCTGCTGCTTTCTGTTTCTTAACCGAAATACCGCCATGTAACTTCAGGACTCAAGAGAGTGGGGCGCCCGACTGGCCCAGCTAAACCCGCGGGGGCGCGCTCCCCGCCGGCATAGAGGACACGTGCCTGCCCTCCTCGGTGATGTCCAGGGACAGGTCGCCATTTCCCCACTCCAGGCCTCACGGAGTTAAGTCAATGGAGGATGCGGTTCAGAATCCAGTGTGTGAGGTGGGGGTGCGAGACTGCCATGAACTGGAGGGGCCTGAGCACCCAGTCCGGCAGCAGCTGTAAAGGGTTTACGTGTGAGTCCTTCTTTGACGTCCTAAAGGACAATATACCCTCCTTAGCCACTGACGTCATGTACAGGAGAAGCCCTGGAGACACAGGTGGGAATGGTCACAGATGAACTACTCACTAGGAGGTCTGGGATGTACTTTTAAAATAATCTGGGGGCGGCGGGGCGGGTATAGAGCAAAAACACTGGCTATGAGCTGACACACGGCTGAGGCAGCTCTTGCCTGTGTTTGAAATTTTCCAAGGTAAAAAGGTCCCCAAGCCCCAAACTTCGACAGAGGAATGGCTTCTGAGTACCTCTGACCGACTCACCCTGCTGACAAGCCTTAGGGTATTTGATGTAGGACACGGACTTTGTGCACAAGGACCAGACCGTTATCCGCAGCTGCCAGGGGCAAAGGGAGGGAAAAGAGAAAGGAAACAGCATATATTTAGCATCTTTGGAGAGACCATTCCAAGTCTTACACCAGATCGTCAGCACCCAAGCGAGAGATTCCCGCAGCAGTTCCCGCATCAGCGTCCTGTGGTGTTTGCCGTCTGAAGAAGTGTGTCAAACTCACATTTTACGATCGTTACATTTAAATTTGTTTTGGCCGCACCACACGGCTTGTGGGATCTTAGTTCCCTGACCAGGGATGGAACCCGGGCCACGGCAGTGAGAGCGCAGAGTCCTAACCACCACTGGACTGCCAGGGAAGTCCCATGTTTGTTAAATTTAATGTTCCTGGTCCTTGGTTTTCATTTTGTGACAATATCTGAGTGACACAAAGTTAAATACAAGTGCGTTTTAGTTCAAAGTACAGCCATCCCTCCTTTTCGGCCTAATTTATGTTTTATCACAGGCACGTCTGTATAGGAAACAGCAGCATATAGAGGGTTCAGCACTGCAGAGGTTTCTGGTATCCATGGGGTCCTGGAAGGCATCCCCTGCGGATAAGCGTGGGGGGATGCTGTAGTCACAGTTTTCACATAATGATAACCCTAAACACGCTGCTTAGAGAAACACGTCTAGGAGGGAAGCCACGCAGGACGCTCCTCAGTCCTCTGAAGCAGATGAAGGGCGAGCAGCTCTGCCTCACCGGGCAGCCCCAGGCTGTCAGGGACGGAAAGTGGCCCGACTCCGCGCACGGAGGCCTCTGCGGAAGATTTTTGGGGGACCCACCGTGGGCACATCGCGCAGGTAGCCACAGCTGCCCGGGCTGTTTTGCAAAATGGCTGGAAGCAGACATGTCAGTGAGGGACCGGCGAGTGTGCCAGGGATGGACGCCTGGGCTCGGGGAGCTGCGCTCGGGGTCGGGGGCAGGGGGACGACCCAGAGCCTCCGCACTGTCACCCCAGCCCTGTGAGCAGGCGAGGCCCCCGCACCCAGGCACGGGGAGGGCTGCTGGAGCCGCCCCAGACCCCCTCGGAACCTCAACGTGAACAATCACCCTTGACCGGAGTTTCCAAATGTTCGTTTCGGAAAAGCATGTCCACACCATTCCCATCGGCCGTCAGGGAAGGTAAATGGGTGCCCTGCCACCTCCAGCTCCCGCAGCCCCCAGGCCAGTGGACACGGACGAAGCTGTGTTTACCAGGCGTGGTTGTGAGGTAAGGAACACGGGCTGGAAAACTGCTTTCATCAAATAAGCGTAGCTTTAAAAACTGTGGGACTTCACATGAAGTAACAGGCAGGGCCCCGCGTTTCTGCACCAGCGTGATTCCTGCACGCTAGGCCCTTTTTCTTTTTTAGCTTAGGAGGTTTAAAAAATGAATTAACTGCATTTTCTCCACATTGTCTCTTAGGAAAGAAAAGAATCTGATGGAAGAATCTGATGTCCTGAACTGCCTCTGTGAAAAGCTCACGCGGCATTTAGGGGAGACAAGGGATGCAGACAAGCTGCAGGGTTAGCGGCACTTCTGGGCTGTACTCAAGGTAAAGCGCTTGTCCGTCTAAGGCAAAGGTACCAGGGCGTGCAGATGAGGCACGGCCCAGGAGCGAGGTTCACCCTGACGACAGGCTTGTTCCCTGTAAAACCTCCTGCTCTCGGAGGCCAAGGAGGGTGAAAAGGCACACCCTTCCCAGCCCAGCAGGTCTGGGTGTTAAATCCACCTGGACACGCACAGCCGGCGCCATCTGGCCTGGAACACCTGTCCTCCAGGTGAGCGAGGGAGAGGAGGGAAGGCCCAGGGCGCTCCTGACTGGGAGCCCCCACATCCCCTGCCCCATCCACACTTCTCTGTTAAAGGCAGAAAAGACACAAAGCACCTAAGCCTGATTTTTACCCGCCATCCCCCATCAAAAACTGTTAAAAGAAACCCAACTGTGTGTAACATTAACAAATGCAGTGAGAAAGAGGCAGGCCTCCCCTCCGTGAGCTCGAGGAGGTGGCAGCACCGCAGGAGGGGAGAGCGCAGGGGGACAGGCCAGAGGTGGTCGAAGGGCAGGCTCCCGGAGGGCCGCCGACCAGGCCTGCTTCTGTGCTCACCCACACACCCTGCGGCGGGAAAGTGGAGGCCAGGGGGCCTTGACCTGGGATTTCAGGTCTGGTCCCACAGAATCACCGTCACCACCAAGCGTCCTTCCAAGGTGTTGGCCCTTCAGCAGG